GGGGGCGGGACCCGAGGAGCGGGAGCCGCCCCGAGGGGAGATCCCTAGGCCTCCCTGAGGTCAGGGAGACGGGGAGGGAATCCTGGGACCTCCCTCTCCGCCAGCCTCCGTGGACACAGGGCTTTATTGCTGCCTCAGTTTCCCCGCTTCAGTAGCCGGAGGACTGTCCCACACCACCCCGTGCAGGAAACGTGACACCAACAGCCGGGCACACCGTGAGCGCCCGGAGGAAGGTGGTCGGCCCTGTACTCCCTTCTCTGAGTTCCTTCCAGATTCCGGGCAAAATTCTGGGATTGGGGGAGGAGAATTGTGAAAGGCGGGGCAGGGATGGGGACCGCCACACCTGCAACGGGGAGGCCGGAGGCTGAGCCGGGGCTCGTCCCCCGGCGGTGCGCGCCCCGCAAGGCGGCGCCGCCAGCTCTAGGCTTCCACCCCGCCCCCTACGGGGCCTCTTCCTGACCCCTTTGCCCTTTTCCTACTGACACGTTGCCTTGGAGATGGGGTGAAAGGGTGGGGTAGTTTTGGCCCTGGAAATCCTGGGGGGAGGGGTAGCTGTTCCTGTCCTGGGTAGAAAGCAAAGATCAGACAGGACAGTTAGTGAGTGGAATCCTTGGGGTCACAAATAAGGACAGAGGGAGAGTAGCTCTTTCCCTCCCCAGTCACCCGGATTTTGGAGGTCTATCAAACTATGATCTGCTGAAAACAGCTCAGTAATATGTACTCCAAACTGGATACTTTCCATCCTCTACACCTTGAGTCTCCCATCCAACCATCCATTCTCTTTCCTCCTCATCACCCTCTGTCTAACGAGGGACCTACAGTTCCAGAAAAAACGGAGCAACTTGGGGGAGGAGTGGGGTAGAGTGACAAGACTCTGCTGGAAACCAGCAGTTAGTGGTTTCCTCTCCTGCTTCCTCTTCTGTGGGTTTTTGTCTCACTGGGGGAAGGCCTATCTCTTTCCTCCCCAGAGAGGGGATGGATATATTTGGTATTTGCTCCCTTGAATTGTAATATCCTATAAAGTTGTAGAATGATTCCATAAGTATGGGGAATTTCTTCCATGGTAACCATCACAATCTGCACATAGGACCCCTTCCATCTGAGGGAGGTCAAAGCAGCGCTACTTCCCAGGGCCCTCTTCTGCTCCAGCTTGTCAGTATCCACCAGAGAATCTGCCCCACAAAGATGTCCCCTCTAGGAGAAGCCTCAAGCAAGTGGAGCCAGCCCTGAACTCAAGCAGGTTTGGCAGCTTCTCCCCTGCCTCTCCATTCTTTTCTACAGCTTTATAGCTGGAGCTGCCTTGATCATCTATATTGACTTTGGCTGGCTGGCAAGGTTAGCCACAAGGTATTTTTCCTTAATTTCCAAGGACAGGTGATGCTGCCCTCTCCTGGTACCATCCAGCAATGCCCTAAGATCCTGCATCAGAGGTCTCCATCCCATTGCCCCTGATTTTCTCCTATCTCAGTATCTCCCCGTTCCTTTCTGGGCAGGTTTCTCTTTCCACTCTCCCCTTCCTGGGCTTGGTAAACCAGTCCCTAATCTCTTCTCACCCCAGATTGGAAGGTGTGTCCCACCCAGACACTCCTTAGACACTCCTCACCAGCCTTCTCCAGGTTTCCATAGCTCTATTGCTCAACAATTTGCCAAGGGTAACCATTAACCTTGTCCTTAACTCACTCCCCCACTTTTCTCGCTTGTTTAACAGAGCCAGGTGACCCCACCGTCTTTCCTAAAGTCTTGGGTGGGATCTCCCCAACTCAGGGTCCTCAGGACAAAGCTGGGAGGAAGATGTTTTTTAAAAGTATATATTTGCTTATTTCTGTCTCACAATCTTCTTGCTTCTACCCTCGCACACACTCAAAAGTTAGCTTCAAGGAGCTCAGACTTAACTATGTTCATTACTCGGAGTCCACCACCTGGCCCGGAGCAGGCACCAGGGCTGCTGTAGGAATGGGTGCCACCCCGCTGCCCTTATCCCCAGAAGGGGGGAGATGTCCTTATCGGGTCTGCTCTCCGCGAGAATTTGGTGTCATTCCAACGCTTTCACTTCCCCTTGGGGGGCTGAAATTATAAGGTAGGCCCTGTAGTGCCCTCGTGGGGTGGTCATAAACTGTACCCAGGAAATTGGCAAAGGAGGGCTGCGATACAAGTCTCACTTATTTCTCCTTATTTATTTAAAACACTCACGAAGCTCTTATTACGTTTGCCAGGCACCGCTCTAAGCTCTTTATAAATATTAACTAAGAGAGACAAATATTGACTTAGAGTTGTTGACACCGGTTGAATTACTGTCGCTTATCTCCACTCCCTACGAAATACAATGCGCCTCTGGCCCTTTAAGATCGCCCTCCTCCCAAGACCCCCTACCCCCCGCGAAGCCCCTGGAACAGTTCCGGACGCTCGGACTCAAGCACGGCTTCCGGCCTCCTCATAGGCTCCGCCTCGTACTTATCAAATCCCGGAAACCCAGAAGGCCAGAGGCTTAGGTGCTAAGCAATGGCAGAGGGCGGGAAGTTTGAACGTTCTGGCACCGCCCCACATGAGAATAGGCCAATCAGCGCCCAGCCCTCTCCGCGACTGCGATCGCCCTCCTCCCTCTAACCCTGTTGGCTCTCTAGGCAGAATCCGGGTGTCTCCGACCAATAGTAGCTAAGGGGGCAGGACATGCGCGCGCGCACCCTGTTCCCGCGCTGGCGCGCTCCTGCCCTCTCGGAGGCTCGTGGCTGTTAGTGACTCGTGTCGCGCTCGTCGAGGTCCAGGTGACAGAAAAGGCGGGAAAACTCCGCAAGCTGTCCGCAAGTGGGGCGGGGAAGTCCAGAGCGTGGGCCTGCGGTCTTGGGGGCGTGGCTGGCGGGGGCGGGGAGAGGAGACTCGCCCAGCTTGCCCCACAGGGCCCTCACAGCGTCTCCATCCTAGTACAACCTCGGCGCGACACCCAGAAATGTGGGTGGGCGAGGTTTCCACAGATACTGAGAAGTCACCCCTCGAAATGCCCCACAGATGCTGAAAACAAAATGTGACCTCTCCCTCGCCTCAGCCCGCTCCCAGACTTCCCAGTGCCCTGCACCTGGGCGCGCCGCCCTGCCAGCCGCCTCCCGGTGGGCGCGCGCCTGAGCCGCCTTCCTTTTCCGCAGCCGCAGAGCCTCCTGCCCATGGCTTCGGTGGGAGCGACCGCCGGCGGGATGCCGCAGGGACCGGGACCCGGGGCGGCCGCGGCCAGCTTCCCCAGCCCGGGCCCAGTGCCGGGCCCCGGGGGGGCGGAGGACGACGACGTGGAAGAGCCGGCAGAGGTCTCTGGGGCGGCGAGGCGCGGGGAGCAGGAGCTCGAACGAATCAGGAGAGCCGGGAGTTGACTGGAACGTCCGGGTGTTAGGAGAAAAAGGGGCGGAGGAGGGCTGGGTCACTCACCTCCGCGGACGCCTGTGTCGCGTGTACTGAAAGGGGTGATGATCCTGCCTCGGAGAGTGAGGAGGAAATGATGACAATTAGGTGAGGCGCGGCACAGCCCTGCACTGGCGAGTGGTTCAAGTACTGGTTTCCTTTTCCCTCGAGAAAGACCCATCTGTGTGTGCTGTGGAATTTAGGCTACTTGGGCATTGCCTACTATGACACTAGTGACTCCACCATCCACTTCATGCCGGACGCCCCTGACCACGAGAGCCTCAAACTTCTCCAGAGAGGTGAGGGCAGAACCAGCAATTCCTCTACCCTGGGATCGGAAGTGTCTCCCTCATATGTGCTTACCTGACACAATTAGTTTTATTAGTTGACTTCCAGAGGACAGTCTATTATTCAACGGATATTTATTAGATGTTTACAATGTATCAGGTGCTGGAGGTACAGTCCTGGGCAAATCAGCCATGTCTGTCCTCTTGGGGTTTGTACTCCAGTGACAGTCTCCAGGGCATCCCTCTTCCCTCCCACCATCTCACCAGTCTTACTACCCCTTCCTTTCCTTTCCTGATTCTCATGCCTGACTCCTAACTACGCTCCCAATGTGTTAGGCACTCCCTACTTTTAGAGAGAGGAAATACGTTTTTGAGATAAGGCTATGGGTTTCCTCCTGGGGGATAAAGATGCTTTAACTCATTTGGTCTCTGTTCTCCTTCCAAGTTCTGGATGAGATCAATCCCCGGTCTGTCGTTACCAGTGCCAAACAGGATGAGAATATGACTCGGTTTCTGGGGAAGCTCGGTAAGGACTGAGTAAGATTGAGAGGGAAAATGAGAAAGGACTAAAAGTATGGGATATTATAGGAGATTAAAGGGTCTTGGAGGGAGGGAGTCAGGAAGCCAAAACTGGGAGAGAGAGAAGGCGGGGCAGAGGCAAAAAGACTGAAATGTACAGACTAATGGCCCTTTCTTTGCCTCCCTCACAGCCTCCCAGGAACCCAGAGATCCAAAGAGACCTGAAGTCATATTTTTGCCAAGTGTGGATTTTGGTA